TTCCACTACAGTAAACTTATTTGGCTTCTTTCTAGACTCTTTCAAAGACCATAATTCATTATCTTGGTGTTCCTACCAGAGCCTCCTTTCAATGCCTTGCACAGCATCCTACATTTAGTAGACAAGCAAATGTTTGTTCACTGCTTGAATGGATATCCGAGCAAAAAATTCCACTTAAAAAAATTCCATTCTACTATGTGAACTCACCCCCAAAAGTTGACTAAATCTTTTTAATTTCTTTCTCTTCACCAGAAATATAATTCTATTTTTAACTTTTAATATATTTCTTCCCTGACAAACAAAAGCAAACATATCTATAGTATTTCCCTAACTTGTCTTGAGAATTTGGTATTGTTTCCTTACAGTGCCAAGGATCTAGATCTAACTTGGGGCCTTTTGATCATTAGGCAAGTGCTCTACCACTGAGCTATGTCCCAAGCTGCCCTAATACCTATTAAGCCACTTTGCCTGCCCTGTCCATGTTGTACAATTTCAAAGAGGTAAAATATAAAAAACACAACAATGGCTGGGCAGTGGCGCACACCTTTAATCCCAATACTCAGGAGGCAGAGGCAGATTCAAGGCCAGCCTGCTGGTCTACACGAGCTAGTTCTAGGGCAGCTAGTACTACACAGAGAAACTCTATGTCTCAAAAATAAATAAATAAAATAAAATAAAATAAAAAATTGTGTGATTGCAACACTTGAAAAACTGAGGTAGGAGAATTTCCATGAATTCCAGGTCAGCCTGGGTTACAGTAAGAACCTATATCCATCAAGAATAAATAATAACAATAACAATAATAATAAAAACAGTTTGTATATGAGTCTGAATATTACCTCAGGAGAAGTCTAGAGCTATATGGGACTAAAGTGGGGACTTTGGATCCATAAAGTGCTGCTATCAGTGAATTTTGCTTGGGGAACACAGAAAAAACAAATGGCAGTAGCACCTAGCCTGTAACTCATTAAGGGGGGGGGACGAGGGCATATGTTTTTGATGTTGAGGAAATGGTCCATACGGTATGTGGCCTGTTTCCTTTGTTATCAAGCCAGTCTGTAGTTGGTGTTTCCAGTAGGAGAGCTGTCAAAGGGCCGTTGGGAGTGGGGCTCTAGAATAACTTTTAGGGTGTGCCTGATGACAACTACCTCTCCTTTCTCCTGGAAACAGGATGATTTGTCTTTTTTTTTTTTTTTTTCTTTGAAATGCAGTGCTGCCTAGAGCAAGCAGTAGAGGAAGGGGCTTTGGTGCCAAGAGTTTTCAGATGTTCCTGGAAAGGCTGAGAGATATGCCCATCTTCAGCAATCCAGAGTCAGAACTGGGGACCCATTGTTGACCTTGTTCTCTTTGAAAACGTAAAAATACCAAATTCCTAACAATAAGTAGAACTCATTTAAGTGTTATTAAACATAATTAATTTAATCCAATTTTCTACAGAGCCCAGTAAATTGGGCTAGTGACTATCAATGAAAATAGGGGTCTTAAAAATGTCTGGAAAAAGCCAGGCGTTGGTGGTGCACGTCTTTAATCCCAGAACTCGGAAGGCAGAGACAGGTGGGTCTCTGTGAGTGCAAGGTCAGTCTGGTCTACAGAGCGAGTGCCAGGATAGGCTCCAAAGCCACAGTGAAACCCTGTCTCGAACCCCCCCCCCAAAAAATGACTGGGAAAAAAAAATGACTGGAAATTTTTTACTTAAGTATATTCTCAAGGTTAAGCAACCATTATCATTTAATGGATTTTTTTTTTTTTTAAGACAAGGTCATGTTACCTAGGCTGGTCTCCCATTGCTTCAGAGCCAAAAATGACCTTGGACTTTTCTGATTCTCCTTCCTGCCTCTACCTCCCAAGTGGTACGATTATAGGCTTGTCGCACTGCATGCAAGTTACATGGTATACATGATGTTAGGGCTCAAACCCAGGTATTTGTGCATGCTAGGCATACATCCTTACCAACTGAGTCCCCATCCTTAGTTTTGTTGGTTTTTGTAAAATTTATTTATTTTAATATGCAGTGTTCTGTCTGCATGTATGCCTGCATGACAGAAAAGGCCATCAGATCACATTACAGATGGTTGTAAGCAGGGAATTGAACACAGGACCTTTGGAAGAACAGCCAGTGTGCTCTTAACCCCTGAACTATCTCTCCAGTCTGACTTTTTTTAAAGGCAGGTCTCACTATACAGCCCAGGCTATCTTCTCAGTCTTCCTGCCTCAACCTCCAAGAGGCTGTGAAAAATTACTGGGGCTTGCCATTATGCCTGCCTGTGGCTTTCTGACCACTGGATAGTTTTAAGTTTCTTCTTTAGGGCTAAAAGATTAGACAGTATCCAAAATCAAAGTAATAATTATTTTTTATTATGTTAACCAATTCCTGTTAAAGACCGGATAGTCTTTTATTTTTAATGAAGCTGATCGTGAAACCCTGAGTCACTTGTACATGCTAAGCAAGGACCCTACCATTTGCCCCCCCCCACAGAGAGAGAGAGAGAGAGAGAGAGAGAGAGAGAGAGAGAAAGAACTCGACCTACCTGGGGGGGGGTGATTCATGGAAACTAGAAGAAGACATAGAGTGTCCTACTTTATTACTCTCTGCCATACTCCTTTGAGACAGGATCTGTTATGAATTGGGAGCCAGGCTGGCAGTCAGTCAAACCCCCATTGATGCTCCTATTTCTGATCCCCACTGGGATTGTACGCACCTGTGCCTATAGTACCACACTGCCTTTTTAAAGTGAGTGCTAGGAATTTAAACTCAGCTCTTATATAGCAAGCTCTCTAACACACTGAGCCATCTGCCCAGCCTCCCAACCTATGTTTTTTATTTGGGTTTGGTGATATAAAGACATTGGTAGGCCTTACTGGAATATTACGTGGAGGATAGCAAGAAGAAATTGGTGATAAGTATTGTTCCTAAAATGTCACAGTGGTGGGGACTAGATTTTGGTTCTTGGTTCATGTTTTTATGAATATGGACAGCTTGAGTATGAGGATTTAGGGAGCATTATCTAGTATTAGGTTGAGTGACTGTTTAAACTTAGAAATTTTGACTGGAAACAAACCTTTGGAGCATGTTTTATTTAGTATTGCTAGTATATAGCTTATTGCCTTTTATTTTACTTTATTTTTTGAGATAGGGTTTTTCTGTGTAACAGGCCTAGCTGTCCCAGAACTCAATCTGCCACCACTGCCTGGTCACAAGAATTAAAAAAATTTTAAACCAGGCATTCACCTTTAATCCCAGCACTTGAGAAGCAGAGACAGATGGATCTCTGTGAGTTCAAGGCCAGCCAAGGCTACATAGAGAAACCCTGTCTTGAAAAACAAAAGTTTAGTTTTCTTGTTTGAAAGGAAAGTATCAACCACACACAAATAAAAGAAATGCCAGTCAATAAAACAGTCAAATCCCTAGGGTCAGGGAAAGGCAGGTAAGTGAGTCAAGTCCCTCCGGCATAATATTGACCCAAAGTTCACTATCTACCTCTCACCCAAAAAGTCTAATCTAAACTGCATCTATATGCTCCTCAAAAAAGCATTTCCCTAAACATTCTTTCACTCCTGGAGAGCAAACTGAAGCAAGTTTCCCAAGGAACTCATTTCCAAGAGAACTTTTGGTTAAAAAAAAAAAAAAAATTTTTTTTTTTTTGAGGATTTTGCCATACACTTCCAGTAGTCTTCATCTAAAGATCTCCCAGCCTGATCCTTCTGAGTCCCAGGGTTACAGACAGCATCACCATACCTGGGAGGGAGGAGGCTAGGTGATACTGACATGTTTTCTATGCCTTCCCCAAGCATCCTTATGCCTCTGCCTCCAGAGTTCTGGAACTATAGCCATTACCTAGGAGTACCACCACTCACTTGAAATGAGCTCCAACAACCTGGCCCACCAACATCCCTGCTAAATAATTAAGAGTCAGCCTTTCTCCTTCCCTTTCCTTTTTCTCTTTAAGACAATACCATATTTACTCAAATAAGCACCAGTGAGAAGGCAATACTTAAGTTCACTCAAGGGACATTGGTACAAAATCAGTACCTGAAAGCAGGCTACCAACCACACAGCCAGCCTGGAAATAGATGTTTAAAGACTGAAATTTGAAATGACAGAAAGTATATCTAGTAGTTCTTGGTGGGACAACTATTAAGTTATCAGAAATATTCAAGTGTCTCAAGTAACAGATTAGACTACCAATACACGAACACAAACTAAGCTTTCATAACAAGCAGCAGTATAAGGTCAACATTTTTAAAGCAATTAAAGTCTAAACAAGCCACTCAGAATGATGGTCTTAAATCCCACTTTAAGAAACCTTACAAGTCAATGAAGTTTCCTACCACATCTTACTACTAAGGAATCTATCTGATATTTTTTGAACTTTTTAAGTTTTCAAAATGTTAAGAGTGAAAAAAAGGTCTTTGTATTGACAGCCAACAGTTTCTGGCGGATCACAAGCCTGCAATGCATCTTGGGATTCCTTCAGGTCGGCCGGTGCCACAGATATTTAAAACGCAATTACAGTTCCAATAGTAGAAACTGCAGCAGGAGCGGCTCTCTGCGTCAGACAGATCAAGAGACAGATCTTGTCCCCCAACTCCTAGGCTCTCACACCGCCCACCTGCGGGACTTCAGGCCCCATCAGTCCCCACTTTTGGGCCTCGTGGCAGTGACTGGCCGAGGGCCTGCCGGGTCCCATACGGTTTCTGTCTGCGGTGAA